AGTCAGGTTGGGACGGACATCTATTTTTAATATTTAAACTGAACTTGTTTTAAATCCCATGATTTTATCACGATTATAAAGGATTCATCGTCAGCTATCATTTCCTGTTTTTCCGTTGAAACCCCCTTTTGTCTAGTTCAGTTAATCAGTTCCGTCAGTTGTCCGCGTCGAATGCTGAGGCTCCCTATAAGTGACTATTGAGTTGTCGATAAATCAAAGTGGAACGAACCACATAAATTTACCGCTTTCTGTGACTAGTATCTTATGCTCCTGCTCCAAGGGACTGCACTCCTTATTGTAACAGCATAAACCTCCCCTCCCCCCTCCTCGATATCCCCGCCCACTGAATCCTCACACTGCTTGTATGACGGCTTGCTTTAAGAACTAAGATGAATTGGGGCTCGTAATGTGTGTGAGTGTGTGCGCGCGCCCCCTTCGGTGGCAAGCCATTGGGGACAGGGGTGACAATAAAGGTTAAATGGGGCTCGTGATGAGGGAGACAACAAAGATGGCATGGGGCTCGTGATGGGGGAGACAACAAAGATGACATGGTGCTCGTGANGGACGACGAAGAAGACATGGGGCTCGTGATGGGGGAGACAACAAAGATGACATGGTGCTCGTAATGGGGGAGACGACAAAGATGACATGGGGATCGTAATGGGGGAGGGGGGAGTAGACAGCTATGATGCATTGTGGCTTGTCATGGGGGGTGACATAAAGATAAAATGGGACCTGTGATAAGGAGAGACGACTGCGCAATGAGCACACAGGTGTGTAATGACAACACTCGTAATAAGAAACATGGATACTCGCATGCCTATTTCAATTTCAGCAAGGTGAATGTTATAGGGATCAACAATGTTTATAAATATAATTTTAATTTTTTTACTTCCCCTTTGAGTTTTTTTTCTTTATTTTTGTAATGTTGACGACTTCTTTTTAAAAAGATACAATGACTTTTTTTCCAAATGCACCCCAAAATGCTTTCACAGTTAGTAAACATGTTGCCGACAGGATAAATTCTTTAGAAAAAGTCGTGTCCCAATTTTCAAATGTATGCACTGAATAAACAAAATAGTATTTTATTATATTTTTTTTTATTTCATGAGCTTTCAAAGTGAGAATGTAGCAAACTGGTGATTCAAATTTGATGCTTAAATTTTACTTTTTTATTTCTTTTTATATATTTTCACTATGGTGATGTGCATTAAATCATTTGGATGAGGTAAAAGGTATAAATGCAATAAGATGCAAGCTAATAAATGAAATTTAAAATGAAAAATTGTGCTCTTTCGTTTGCATGAATGTCATGAATTTTACTGGATGAAAGATTACTACCATTCTTAAATCTGTAGACGAAAAACAAAACCCTGAATTTTGAATTATGAAAATAAAAATTCGATATATAATTTCATACTTATTTACTATATAGGCTTTGAATAATTTTAAAGTCAACTTCAAACTCAAGTATCCTGATAGCAGTATTTGTACATAGAAACATCCCTTTATTGCAACAGAAGAAAGAAAAATACATAATTTTACATATAAGCAGTAACTAGTCAATCCCAACGCATGATTAAGTTGCTAATTAAAAGTTTTTCAGTGTATGTAGTCTATGTTGGCAAATCTTTTTGTTTTCAACAGTGCAAATAAAAAGAATTTTATTTTTCTTCGTCTGACTTGCTTATACCAGGCCATACATTATTTAATTTGAGTACATGTTACAGTTGAAAAAATTAACTGGGCCAGTAACTGAATGTTTTTAAGAAATTCACAAGCCCAGTTCGCTTTTTCACTGGCATTAGGCTAGTGGTTAATATCGCAGACTGTTATACCATGGTCCTTTTACAAATTATATATTTGTTTTTTTTTAATCTTTTTCAACATGACATAGTAACATAGAATTTATGTTCACATTTGACGTGTATAGGGACCGTGAGGTATATTCAATGATACTTCAAACAGTCTTTGTTAGCAAGACTCATCCAGTTTCTTCCCTGAAATCTACAACTCAAGTTAGTTTTCTTTGTGGCATATTCTTCTGTCTCGCTTGTAACATGTCACTCAGAAAAGAGGGATAGAAAAAATCATTATAGTGGCATCCTAAACTACTAGTATATACATTTGTACGTAGACATTATGGTATTATGCAATGAGCTAAATTTAATCTGCCAATGTTTTCAAGTGATTTGAATGAAATAATGTCAACCACATACATTTAAATATACAACTTACAACTATATTTAAAATGAACAAGATTCAAGATCACAGACTTATAACTCCACGAGATTGCAAAGAAATTGTATTTATAGGCCTAAAAGAAATTAGATATTAAAATTATTTAAATTTGTCCTGGTTCCCACTGTCGTCCTACATGTAACAGGACACAAAGAGGATGTCAGAGGGACCGGTCGCTAAACGGAATATATGCCCAAGATTTGTCTCAGTTTACTGAAATAGCGCCATAGGATTTTCATTCAACTCTAGTGATCTCAATGGTGTCTTACGCGGAAGAAAGAAAATTTTTTTTCTGACGTCTAACCTAATGTTTTCGTGTTGTAGAATCCAAATATTGGGTATTTAAGATATGTTCACCAGTGTGCAGTGATAATTTACCTGCATTAAAACAAATAACCACACACATAACTGATTATCGGCAACAATAAATCAAATATCGCACCAAAACTTCAATAAATCTGGCCTTGTCTTGTGATAGGCCTACACGGCATGCTCTAAATTTTCATTAACTACCCGTATAAACTTTTACTAGTATAGAGACTTAACGACAATCCTTGACCAATGTAAGTAAAAACGAGTCACTTGCGCACTTCGTTGATTTTTGTTTCGTATGTCTGTTTCGTATGTCTCCGTCTCGCGCGGGAAACATATAGTCAGACGACACTTACGCAATGCATGCCGGGATAAGTAACATTGATAAAATTCTCTGTCATACGTTAAAGTATTTTCCAAGTAATAATGCATTTTTTTCTTCTGTTGAAATAAAGTGATGTTTAATGTACATATAATGCTATTAGGATACTTATGTTTGAAATTGACTTTAAAATCATTCAAAGCCTATGTAGTAAATAAGTTTGAAATCTATATCTAATTTTTATTTTCATATCTCAAAATTCTGGGTTTTGTTATTATCATTACTATTTTTAATTACGTGGTCAGCATTGTAATTTCTGAGATCTGTTTTGTAAAGACACATATATATATTACTTGAATAAAATTATTATTTATGTTTAGCACCTTGTACATTTATACTTCTTCACCCACAAATATGAATGGGAATATTATAATCAGTACTAGTATGTGTAAAATTTATCCTGAAAAAAATTTCTAAGATCAAGAAACGTAAAACCAAAATCCACAAAACTTACATGCTGTGGCGCTGCCACCATGTTTGTTTATAATTTGATTTTATGTATTATAAACAGTACATGTGAAAAATCATCATGATGAAAAAACTTTCAAGATTGAGAGATTTAAAACCAAACTCACGAAGCTGTGGCGTTGCCACAATCTATGCTTTTGAGACGTTCGTGCTCGAGGGTCCAAAATGTATGTATTGATTTTATTGACATTGATATATAAGTAAGTGTTTACATAACGCAGGTAAAGCTTATTACTTCAACGACCTTACTACCCAAAATGCATCTGGAAGTTCGCTTCTGATGATTGAACCCCGCTCCAAGGGGGGGGGGGAGGGTCGGCTTCTCATCCGCTGACCCCCCTTCAAATAATTCTGGATCCGGCCCTGGTTTAGCATTATATAAACCCAGATCTCTTTCTCTCCAGTCACACGCTGTAAATATTTCTAAAAAATCTTGATTAACTATCAACTGTATACCAACACTCCGCACCACATTGATTATATCTCCCATATAACAAATCCATTATGTTAGAGAATACGACCATAACTTCAATCTCATAATTGTGTTAGAGAAGCCCTCAGTTAGGCGTAAACATTATAAGACGTTGATACGCGAAGATTGAGACAAAAATGCTATGGGATTTCTTCATATTTTCAATCATGTAAGTGTTGCCACATGATCGCTATGTATACTGAAGAAAATATCACTGTTTAATCAAGATAATATAGTTCTTTGATTGCCATTTAATTTCTTTTGATATAATTTCATTATCGTCATGTGCTTCAGATTTGGGTTTGCATTAGTTGAAGTGGGAGGTACAGATGCAGGGAATTATTTTTAATGAGGACAGAAAGATGGCAAATCTTAAATTCATATTCATAATGGGAGACGACGGTCATAGGGAAATAAAGAAGATGAACGAGCTGTATTTCACCCAGTGGAACTGTCCGGCTAATCCGCGAAGATCAAGTGCAATGTTAACCTCGTCACTTAGCCACCAGGTAATCGTACGTAGGAAGGGAGACATATCTTATTTGATTTGAGTGGTTTGTGAAATTGAACAAAAGAAAAATATAATAAGAAAAAATAAAAATAAAGAAAAACAAAGAAAAAATAGTGATATAAATTTCCCATAGTCATTGGGTAATTGCGAAGGCACAGATTCAATTGCAGATTTCAAGTACATATTGTATAAAACGCGGGGTTAGTACACATAGATACAAGAGTGGTCACTGGATATCAGAGGAAATTTGTGAGATCATTTGTTTAAGCTCATATTTACAAGACTGAAGTCAGCTATTAAAACTGAAAGATGGCAAAAAATTAGAGAGACATTTATCCACAGTATACATCAGAGACCGATCAGAAGGACGAATGGTCATCAAAGATATTACTTTATAAAATAAATCTTTAGATTTTAATTTAGCGTTAACTTATTAATTCTGCCCGGATCACATCATCATTCTATTGTTTCACTTTTTAATTCAGGTGAAATGATATTGCATTAGTGCGACTCTTGACTTCATGATTGACACCTGTTTGCTGACTCCATACATGTCATTTTACTGCGTGTGCTTCTATTTTTTAAACCATCAATACTCTATGAACAACAAAAGATGAAATCATTTGATTTATTTTCAATGTGAGAATGCGTCTGGTTAACAGCAATCTCAATGTCCAAAGAAGTCAAATGAGGGAAATAAATCTCATTTCATAAAATAACAGACTTGAATCTCCTCTGTGTATCTGAAAAAGAACATGAGAGATTATAAAAACACGTATGTTAATTTGATATTTAAATGAATATTATGAAGACAAATACCCTTCCCTCTACCCCCCCCCCCCCTCCGCACCCACCCACCCCCTCCCCACCCCCGACATCAAGTGCCCTCAGAGAGTTAATTCATTGGAAGGTCGCGAAGGGGGATTTACGGGAAAATGGTGAAATAGAGTATAACGTAACATGATTTTATGAACCCAGAGTATGTATTCTCTTCAGCTTAGTGAAATGCGATGTCGATGGCCGCTGCCACCATTTTGTTTTGATAACCCCCTTCCCTTCCCCTCCCCTCCCCCTCCTCGCGAACATTTTTAAGGTTTCCTATCACACATTTTTGGTTATTCATCATTGATATTCTTTAAATTTCATCACAGCGGATCTATTTATGGTATATATCTTAAATTTAAGATAATCCATGAACTACATTTACAAAGTCTTACTTTGGAGAGAGATTTTAAGTTCGTAAAATATATCTGCATAGTATATTACTTTTAAGGCTGGTTGCTGAGGAGATCTTTAAGTTCAGCGAGTTCTTTTTCGTTCAGCTCATCGTCCAGCTGGTCATCATCCGAGGACTGACCCTGGGTCAGAGCTGGAACAGAAGGACTGTTTTAAAAAGGGATAGGTACAAAATAATCTGTAGTTCACTTAACCATTTGCGTGTGTGAGTGCGCAAAGAAGACTTGATAAATAAAATATATGGGCAATACATATATTCTGGAACTAATATAGCCAACCCACATGTGTGTGTGAGTCTGCACGTGCGTGCATGCGTGTGTGTGTTTGAGAGAGAGAGAGAGAGAGAGAGAGAGAGAGATAGAGAGAGGCTGACCTGTTATCATATTAAAATGTTCCTGGAGATTGTCCAGCTCTTTTTGGTCAACGAATCCGTTGTCTAAAATAAGAAAGAAGAACTATCATATTTATATATCCAAGACGTAGTGCTTCGTTTATCACTTTTAAGACATCTGGCGTAAAGGTGAACGAGTCACTCTACAGTTTTGAGTAAAATTTGCATAATTATGACACGTCACATTATTTTCCCCTGCTTTATACTACAGTAACCTCCAATATTGAAAGAAAAAACTAAACACCAAGTGATTTACATATAGTTCAGTAATAAAATGCACAAATTGTGTTGAACAAAGTGTTTGCTTCACTGACGTTGTTCGCTTTACTCATGATATTGTGGAATAACTCTGCAAACTACTATGTACACTACCGTATATACATCAACGAAAAAGGCGTCCTTTTTCTTTTCTTTTTGTCATTTGTAATATATTGTACGTTATAACGTACCGTTCGCGTCAAGCTCCTCAAACAGATCCTTATCTTCCATCTCATGTAGCGCCATCTTGCCGTCCCCGTCCTGATCATTCATCATGGCCTGCAGTTTATTTTCCTGAAATTATTTGATATTGTTATAGTTTGTTTTTTTTTTTTTTGAAAATCATGGAATCTCGCTTATGATGACCATCTTTTCTTCCTCTCATTTTCTCTCCCTCTGTTTTACAGCACCAACTTCTCACTTGTTTATTTTATCTCTCTCTCTTCTCTCCCATCTCTCTCTTGCTCTCCTCACCCTCTCCCTCCTTTCTCTCTCTCTCTCTCTCTCTCTCTCTCTCTCTCTCCCTTGTGTACTTACGTCACCAGTGGCGACTCTGTAACAAGTAACCGGGCGGTTTTTGCAAAAGTTGACTACACGCCTCACGATTCTGGAAATAAAACATATATAGTTCTTCAATTTAGCTTGCTTTGACTTAATACGTGCACTAAATCACTTAAATCCTTTTCAAGCTGGTATTTTTGCTTTTGTTTCCAAATGTATTGTTTTGATATTTTTCTTTAATCTTTTTTAACCACAATGTCCATGCATGGAAATTACTTTGAATTCAGAAATAAGCAAAATTAGTTCCTTGCCTTCTTACGCGAATACGAATTCGCGGCCAACTGTCTCCTTCCTGGACCATCATGGCTACAACGGCCAGTAGGAGTCCTGTCAAAAGGTACAGCCTCATGGTGAACTGCAATGTTGAGAGAAAGGAGGAGTGAAAAATATTCGCTAAAATTCAACAAATAGGTTTTTAAACGAAATTTTGAGCTTTTTAGTGTATCAATTCATCGGAAAAACATTTTTCTAGATCACATTATACCGGCGAGAGACGTACAGTACATCCAATCACCACATAAACTCACTGACATGAAGTGTTTTGAATAAATGTCTAAGATAAAAGTATCACGATACGAACACGAAGAAAATCTCTCACCTTCAACAAGGAACGTCCGGCGCTAGTATCTGCAGGTGGGAATCTCTATCCTTGAACAATAGTGATGAAAAACAAGCAAACCTATCTCTCTTATATAGCACTTGTGTTGTAACTGTTTGAAAAGTTTCCGATTATACTATCTGATTCTATAAAACAAGGTGCATCACGATTTCTTTGTTGTGGCTCTACGAAAATTCTAACTGCCCACGGTTCTTAGAAAAAGATTAAAATTAAAACAACAGCCAAGAGGTCACTTGAGTGAAGATGTCATTATTTTTATTAAAGATTCTGGTCGAACAGTACAGAAATAGTGAGTGTAATATGTATGCAGAATATCTAGTGTACAAAGACTCTCCGTGACCCTGGTAGAGGATGCATAATGGTACATACTGTTATGTAATTGATGCTGATATATAAGGGCTCGCTAATTAGCCTACTTTATTCCCAGCACGAGAAAAAAAACTAATAGATCAAAGCTCTTACGAATCAACTAAAAAAATGGAGAATTGTCGAGTTGTCACTTAGTAAAACATAAATTCAACACCGTAAACAACCTCAAATTTCAAATACCATGAAATCTTTTCCATCGTATTTCCCAGAAATCGAGACTAGATGAAATGAGAGTAATCGTACATCTGCCGCACCTGCTTGATGTGAGTTAAGTTATGAAGTCAAATTGATGTCTGACATGTTTACTGGTATGTTATTCTCAGTTTATAATTAGTTACCGTGGAATTCGTAGGTTGTCATTTTTGTCACGTATGAAGGCCCTCAACTTTTCATACAACATTACGAGTATAAGATCTGTGCGCATTGAATATAACGATACAAATAGATGTAAATGTGTGTAACTGTAAATGATTCTCCCAGTAATAAATAATCATAAACAGACATGGCATAAAATGCCGTGAATGGAATCAAATCCTTCAGAATTCTTTATTCATTTATTTATTTATTTATTTTGCATTTTAGCGGTTCTAACCATAAAAAAGTATAAAGTTTGCAATCGTTCGTAACAATGGAATTTCTTTTGCACCCATTAGTATGTACAGTAACAAATAGGCCTTTATCCCGATATAGATTATACCGGTATTCATGGAATAAATATTATCATCGGTAACTTTTCACATCACTCTTGAAGGAATAAAAATTTCAAATGACAGGTGTAGCGCCATACTTCGAGTAAAAAAGTAAAGGACACCGTGTCATAATACTTCAATATACAAAGTACAGCTAACACATTTTGTACATGAGCATTCATCCCAGACAAATCCATCGTTTGTTTTATTACGATGAGCACGGAGTTTTATGAACAAAGACTTATCGAAGTCTCACATAGTACACACCCCTGACACCCGTGGTCTTGGTCACTCTCCTCTCAAATAATATGAGGGGGTATTTAGTAATGCACAAGACTGCATTGATTTTTGTCCTTTCCCTCATAAAACTTCTCTCCCTCATTCACATAACATTGAGTTGCACTGAGGCTCCAAAAGGGGAGGGATGATATGTACAAGACAGTACACTGAAATACGGCTCACTTTCAATGATTTTTTCTCACTTTCAGTGATTTTTCATGAAATCACGTACAACTTGGTTTTGCATATCTCAACTTCATCAAGGTGAATTTTAACTGAATGGCAGATCGGCTGGTTTTGGGAGGGGGCATAATGGGTATGCGTCTATGCCCCCCCCCCTCTCCCTCAAAAAAAAAAGTATTCAAAGTGCAAAGATACAAACACAAGCCATCACCATTCTACCTGATATATATAAATCATTTTCTATAATTGTCTCACATCGGATACCCCGTGGTTTTGGTTAAACCATAAACCCCTCACAAATGTGTCAAATTCAAATGTTATTTTTCCAGGAATATAGAATTCCCAGTAATCTTTCATCCCATCACTCATCAATTCCTAGGACAGATACGTCAGGCCGGACATAATTATTTTTTATTTTTTAAACTGATCTTGTTTTAATTCCCATGATTTTATTACGGTAATAAAGCGTTCATCGTCAACTATTATTTCCTGTTTTTCTGTTGAAAGGTCCTATGCACATCTAATGGTAAACTAAACTTGCCGGTCTTCTTTAGCAGCCTCTGACATGCTATTACGCTGCAGGACATTTTATTCTCTTCCATAATTTCTACTAAGTTCACCCCCTGTTGTTTACTTCAGTTAATTAGTTCTGCAGTTGGCCACGTCGAACGCTGGGGCTCCCTTTAAGACCCCATTCCCAGAGATTAAATCGATCCAAACTAGATCGACCTAACTCCATGGGGGTTCAAGCTAAATAGCTGTCAGCCGAGCGGGCACGAAATTTAATTACCCTCTTACAGCTTGTAGGAGGCGGGGCTCGTAATGTGTGTCACACTGTGTGTGTGTGTGTGTGTGTGTGTGTGTGTGTGCGCGCGCGCGCGCGCGCGCGTGCTTCGGTGGCCCGTCAGTGGGGACAGGGGTGACAATAAAGGTTAAATGGAGCTCGTGATGGGGGAAACGACTAAGATGTCATGGGGTTCGTGATGGGGGAAACGACTAGGATGACATAGGGCTCGTGATGGGGGAAACGACTAAGATGGCATAGGGCTCGTGATGGGGGAGACAGACTAAGACAACATGGGGCTCGTGATGGGGGAAACGACTAAGATGACATGGGGCTCGTTATGGGGGAAACGACAAAGATGACATGGGGCTCGTTATGGGGGAAACGACAAAGATGACATGGGGCTCGCGNATGGGAGAATGGTGAAATACAGTATAACGTAACATGATTTTATGGACACAGAGTATGTATTCTCTTCAGCTTTGTGAAATGCGATGGCGATGGCTGCTGCCACCATTTTGTTTGGTAACCCCTCCCCTCCCCCTCCTCGCGAACATGTAACAGGTTTCCTATCACACATTTTTGGTTATTCAGCATTGTTATTCTTTCAATTTCATCACAGCGGATCTATCTATTATATATATCCTTAATTTAAGATAATCCATGAACTACATTTACAGATTCTTACTTATTAGTTATATAAATGCATATTTTAAGTGCATAGAATATATCTTCATAATATATTACCTTTTAAGGCTGATTGCTGAGCAGATCTTTAAGTTCAGCGAGTTCTTTCTCGTCCAGCTCATCGTCCAGCTGGTCATCATCCGAGGACTGACCCTGGGTCAGAGCTGGAATAGAAAGACTGTTTTCAATGGGGTTGTACAAAAATTCTGTAATTCACATAACCATTTTTCTGTGCAAAAGTGCAAAGAAAACTTGATTAATTAAAGAAATGGGCTAGTAACTTGGATGATGGATATATACTGTAACTAATACAGCCAACCCACGTGTTTGCGTTCGTCTGCACGTGCCTGCGTGTTTGTTTCTCTCTGTGTGTGTGTGTGTGTGTGTGTGTGTGTGCTTCAGAGAGAGAGAGAGAGAGAGAGAGAGAGAGAGAGAGAGAGAGAGAGGGAGGCTGACCTGTTATCATATTAAAATGTTCCTGGAGATTGTCCAGCTCTTTTTGGTCAACGAATCCGTCGTCTAAAATAAGAAAGAAGAAGGGAGCTATCACGTTTATATACCCATGACATCAACTTAGCCCTTCGTTTACCACTTTTAAGACATCTGGCGTAAACATGAGTCACTTCACAGTTTTGAGAAAAATTTGCTTAATGGTGACACGTCACACTATTTTTCTCTGCCTTGTTCTACAGTAACCTCCAATATTGAAAGAAAAAAATTAAGTGATATACCTGGTACATATAGCTTAGTTATAAAATGCACATATTGTGTAGCACAAAATGTTTGCTTCACTGACGTTGTTTGCTTTACTCATGATATTGTGGAATAACTTCGTAAACTACAATGTACATTGTATGTACATCAACAGAAAAGGCGTCATTTTTCATTTATTTTTGTCATTTGTAATATATTGTATGTTATAACGTACCGTTCGCGTCGAGCTCCTCAAACAAATCCTCATCTTCCATCTCATGCAGAGCCATCTTGCCGTCCCCGTCCTGATCATTCATCATAACCTGCAGTTTATTTTCCTGAAATTATTTGATTTTTCTTGAAAATCATGGTATCTCGCTTCTGATTACCGTTCTTTCATTTTCCTATTCTTTCCATCCGTCTCACAGCTCCCACTTTTCTCTCCTTTATTGTTTACTTTATCTCTCTCTGTCTCTCTCTCTCTCTCTCTCTTGTGTACTTACGTCACCAACGGCGACTACTGCCGCTTTCCCCACTTTGTAACAAGTGATGGGGTGGGACTTGCAAAAGTCGACTACACGCCCCAGGACTCTGGGAATAAAACGTAGTTTAATTTATTTTGACTTAATACGTGCACTAAATCACTTAAACTCTCTTCAAGATGGAATTTTTGCTTTTGTTTCCAAATGTGTTGTTTTGATATTTTTCTTTACTCTTTTTTTTAACCACAATTTCCATGCATGGAAATTACTTTGAATTCAGAAATAAGCAAAAATAGTTCCTTGCCTTCTTACGCGAATACGAATTCGTGGAAGCCTGATGCGAATCCTGGGCCAACTGTCTCCCTCCTGGACCATCATGGCTACAACGGCCAGTAAGAGTCCTATCAAAAGGTACATCCTCATGGTGAACTGCAATGTGGAGAGAAAGGAGGAGTGAAAATATTCTCTTTAATTAAAAAAAATATGTTTTTAAACGAAATTTTGAGCTTTTTAGTTTATCGATTCATCGGAAAACATTATTCTAGGTCACATAATGAGAGACGTGCAGTACATCCAATCACCACATAAACTCACTGACATGAAGTGTTTTGAATAAATATCTAAGAAAAAGTTGATAGTGAACATTAAAGGAAAAAAACAGTCGACAACGTAATCAAAATTAAATCTAACGACAAAAATTCGACGCTAAGATTTCAGAAACCTTTCATTAGCGCTTCATCCAGCTACTGAAAGTGGAGTCACGTAACATTGGTGACAACAACTGAGACAAATTTGTCTTAATCACTGACGGCTTAAACGTGTAACGTATTAATTTTAGAGTGCATACAAACCCATGCATATATGAACAACTACGAGTGTAAATTTTAAACGCCC